GCAGTGCCAGCCTGAGACATTTTTTGAAGTGTAAAGTAAAAAAATGACACCTTCCCTAGTTGACCTTTAAAATGACACATTGAGAAGGAGGTTGGAAGTGGGACTTGATACCACCCCTCCTGGATTCTGCTGCCTGGAAGTGACTGCTTTATGGTAAGACCAGTGCAAGTTTCATCATCATCATCATCATCATCATATTTTTTATTAATATTTATACCCCGCCCATCTGGCTGGGTTTCTCCAGCCACTTCATAAAATCTCGAGAGTGAGAGGGAAAATGGCATTACAGTCGTACCTCGGAAGTTGAATAGAATCCGTTCCAGAAGTCCGTTTGAGTTCCAAAACGTTTGACTTCCAAAGCACGGCTTCTGATGGGCTGCAGGAAGCTCCTGAAGCCTATCAGAAGCTGCAGAAGCCCTGTCGGACGTTTGGTTTCCAAAAGAACGTTCGAAAACCGGAACACTCCCAGTTTTCGATCGGGAGCCGAAACGTTCCACTCCCAAGGCATTTGGGAGCTGAGGTACCACTGTATATACAAACTTTGGGGAAAGGAAGACTGTCTGGAAAGTTTCCTCCGTTATCCTGTCATAGTTTTTGGTTTTAAGAGCAAAAAGGATACTAGTTTCAGTGACTGCCTTGTTTACATGTGATGCTTTTACCTGGTGATATTTGAATGTTGTTGTTATCATCATCACATAGCATTACTGCCCATTATTATTTTTATTTCCACTTGCAAGTGCATCACTTACTCCCCTCTCCAGGTAACATTACAACATAGATACGAGCTGTCTTAGCATGGCTCTATCCTGTTCCTCTCTCTTGGGGCATGCCAATGGTGCAATGCTGTAACCAGCTTTGTCAGTCAGTGGTCAGAGTTTTCCCATGAAGACTTGCCCATGCACTCCATTTACAAAATCACAGGGACCGGTTTCAGGATCCGCTTCGTGGGGAGCCTAATCCGCAGTCCTCCAGGGCTCTTAGCAAGTTTCACATCCAGAGATTCAAGACCTCTAGCACGCCCCTTTCCCATCAATTTACCTGAGATCTTAAAGTGAAGTTGGCAGGGTTTTAGACTGGAGTCCCAAATGTGGAAAATCCATTCCGCAGCAGAATCCCCATGGAGAAGAATAGATGATTTTGCAGGAGAGATCTGCAGATGGAAGATGAGAGGCTTGCTTGCGGCTTTTCAAGGATTCTGCTGATGCTATCATTTTACATATATTCCTTTATGGAGGAATAAAGTTATACTGGAATCTCAATCTCTCTCTTTCTCTCTCTCCCCCTGCCCCATATTTCCCTTGTCCCAATATATCTTCGCTCTCCTTGTCAGCATTTGCATTGAGAGTGATTTATGACTGGGAACAGCTATCCTGTTCGGATTGTGTGCACATGAGAGAGTTAGCAAAGGGTAATGACTGTAAGTGGCTTGACCAAAAAGGGTGCTTTCTGGTCTATTTAAATATATTGGTCTTGAAAATCCGCAAGCAAGTTCCAAGCCTCACGAGACTGCATTTTATTTTACATTATGCTTAACTACTGTTGGGGCACATTGCATTTTCTGCAGAGTGTTGAAAGGTTTTTGTTTTGAGATTTACCCTCCATTAAATGTACACAGCTAAATCTACAGACGTTGTAGTGCATGTTTACCCTTGACGATTCGTTGACAAATATAATAAAAGTTGTTTCCAGGCAGATAATGTACCAGACGGCAATCAAAATTCAATAGACTTTTGTTTATGTAAAACGAGATGGCCTCGATCAGACTACTTGCTGAGGGGAAACGATGTTAGGAGAAAAGTAGAAACAACTGGAAGTAGGAATAAAAGTGCATGATTGTTATGGGTGGGCCAGCTTGCTTAAATTCTCATCTATCTCTCTGACAGGCTGCTGTTATTAGGAAATGAAATCATTTAGTTCAGCACAATGGAATATACTTCCAAGAAAAATAAATTGAGAATACTTCAGTTATAAAGAGTTGAGTGGATCTGCAAAGGGCGTTTGGACACCTCTAATATCTGAATGCAGAGTATATAAATTCATGGTTAAGCCCTAGTAGCAATATTCTCAAATTATTATGGAGATAGAAAGCTAAAAAACTGAACATTGCAGACAACAGAATTCATTCCTAAGTAGTCTTTGATGTATAATTAAGTAGACACAGCAATATATTTTTCTTTGAAGGTTCTTCAAATAGGTTATCTTGCACTGCAGCTGCCTAGCAAAGTTCTTGTTGTGCTAAGCGTGCTTTCTGGGCTGAGAGCAAATCTGGCCAGTTTACCTGGGAGAGACAGGTATAAATGCCAAGTACTTTGCATTCCTCTGCAGTACCAGTACTGGGTGAACCTACCTGGGAGTTAATCACTATTTGTTCCCAGAAAGGACCAGGGCAGGACAAATGTGTGTATACACACACACACACACACACACCCTTCTTCTTCTTCTTTGGCGATCACTTGTAGCCGAGTAAGATTGTCTTCCATAAACACGGTTCTAACAATGAGTCCGTAAGTGACTGTGGAGGCCAATTCTGGATCCGCACGTCCTTCCACAGTGGGGACATTGGTTTCCTGGCAGGAGTTGATAACGGTGTGCATTTGCCAAGCATGCCTTCCTCTTAGCACGTTTCTCCCTTGCATCCCGAGTTTGAGTGTCTTCAAAGCCCATGACACCTTTGGTAAAGGTGCACTCGCAGGCCAGTGTTTCCCAATTGTTGGTGTTTATACTACATTTTTTTAGATTTGCCTTGACAGTCTTGAAACCTCTTTTGTTGACCACCAGCATTACGCTTTCCATTTTTCAGTTCGGAGTAGAGTAGTTGCTTTGGAAGATGATCATCAGGCATCCGCACAACATGACCAGTCCAATGAAGTTGATGTTGAATCATTGCTTCAACACTGGTGATCTTTGCTTCTTCCAGTACACTGATATTAGTTCGCCTGTCTTCCCAAGTGATGTGTAAAATTTTTCGGAGACACCGTTGATGGAATCTTTCGAGGAGTTGGAGCTGGCGTTTATAAGTGGTCCATGTTTCACATGCATATAGTAAGGTTGGCAGTACAATAGCTTTGTAAACAAGCATTTTGGTTTCCCTGCGAATGTCCCGGTCCTCAAACACTCTGCACTTCAGTCGGGAGAAAGCCGCACTCGCAGAGCTCAGGTGATGCTGGACACACACACACACACACACACACACACACACACTGCACATAAGTCCCCCCCCCCTTGGAATATGGTACCTCTAAGGTTGGGAGGTTAATTACATTTCCAAGCCTTTTCAGCATCTGGCTTTGTAGGTGTTTCTTATGCGATGATTATGACTTGTCTTTCTGGAAGCAGAGCAAATGAATTTGCTTTGCCCATCCACCCGGGGTTACCATTTCCTGGTGGCAGCTTCTCAACCGCGCAAAGGGTCTGATGGCATTTTCCATTATCCAAGTATAATTTCCCTTGAACTAATTTCAACCTCTGGTTTGTTTATACATTCACTGAGTGTAACAGGGGTCTAAACTGTTGAAAATTATTTGGCAATATGTTGACAGTTGCTAAGAATTGTTCCCATATTTGTCGTGTTAAATCATATTTAAAGTGCTGTTGTCTTTGGGTAGTCTAACTTATGGGTGTGCAAACCTCGACTTCGCCTTTCCAACTCTGCAGTTCTGTGATTATTAGCCATCCTGTATGTAGCCCCAGTTCTCACAATTCTTTGTCTTGTTTTACATGAAAAACTAGGATTTTTGCTGTCCCTTTCTTTTGCATATGGAATTATAGGTTGTTTTTGCACACGCTTATATTTAGCCGCCTTCATTACGCTTTTATTATGAATCATGTTCAACATTCAGTTTCTTTTGTTACATATATAGTCTGATTGCAGTGAATTGCATTTGATGAGAGTTCCCTCGAGGGATTAAAAGAATGTTGGGAAGAAGTTTAAGTTACCAACCCAAGGAAACAGTATAAAATGCCGTGTGTGTGTGTGTGTTATGAAAGGCAGCCTAAAAATACTTTAATAAAGAAATAAATGGACCTGGGAGGTGGCAAGAATAGGCAAGGAAAAAGTGAAGATGGGGCAAAATGGATAGAAGGTGCAGCAATAATAATAATAAAAAAACTACTAGCACATTTGCAAAGCTAAGCAGGGTCTGGTCTGGTTTCAAATAAGATGGGGGACTGCCTGTTGTGATTCCTGCATTGCATGGGGTTGTTCTAGATGAGCTTTGGGTTCCCTTCCAACTCTACGATTCTATGAAAAGCAAACTCTGCCAATGGCAAGTCTGCAGCTAGGTCCAGGCACAACAGCAGAATTTTCGGCTGTGTACGCATTGCAGTAGTTCTTCGGTGTGAAATCGGTTGTGGAGGTGATATGGTGAGCCACAATTACTTAACAACAACTGCCTAGCCTGTGTTAACAAGCCTCACCCTGCCCACGTGAACTAACCTCCCAGACTCTAGCCATGCAGCCAATATTCTCTGGCTAGAAGCCATCTGGGAATTTGTCTTAAAGCAACAGTCACATTTACAACACACACTTGCCATTACTCAGATCCCACTGCTGGTTTAGGAAGCGGTCTACGCACAACATTAGTCACAATCCACATCCATCCTGATACCCATTTCTGATGAAATAATGTGTTTTGATTTTCCCAAACAAGTTTCCATGTGATTGTGTGTGAGTGTGTGTGTGGGGGGAGTGACCTAGCTGCCCTAAACGGCCTCGGCCCAGTATACCTGAAGGAGCGTCTCCACCCCCATCGTTTTGCCCAGACGCTGAGGTCCAGCTCTGAGGGCCTTCTGGCGGTTCCCTCACTGCAAGAAGCCAAGTTACAGGGAACCAGGCAGAGGGCCTTCTCAGTAGTGGTACCCGCCCTGCGGAACGCCCTCCCATCAGATGTCAAAGGGAAAAACAACTACCTGACATTTAGGAGACATCTGAAGGCAGCCCTGTTCAGGGAAGTTTTTAATGTGTGACATTTTAAAGTATTTTTAATCTTTGTTGGAAGCCACCCAGAGTGGCTGGGGAGACCCAGCCAGATGGGCGGGGTTTTTGTTGTTGTTTAGTCGTGTCCAACTCTTCGTGACCCCATGGGCCAGAGTACGCCAGGCACTCCTGTCTTCCACTACCTCCCGCAGTTTGGTCAAACTCATGCTGGTAGCTTCAAGAACACTATCTAACCATCTCGTCCTCTGTCGTCCCCTTCTCCTTGTGCCCTCCATCTTTCCCAGCGTCAGGGTCTTTTCCAGGGAGTCTTCTCTTCTCATGAGGTGGCCAAAGTATTGGAGTCTCAGCTTCAGGATCTGTCCTTCCAGTGAGCACTCAGATTTAAGCTGGAAAGGTGGACATAGTCAGTGGCGGAGGAAGGGGTGGTGCGGGTTGCTCTGGGTGTCTTCACTGAGGGGGGTGACAAAAGGTCAAAAATATGAGTTTAAAAAAATTTAGGGCTCACGAAACTTTTTAGTTCAGTCAACAAACATAACGAAACGCGGCTGGCACTGGGTGCCACACCGTGGGGCCTGGCACTTACCGCAGGGCCTGCAGCGTGCCCAAGCCACGCATCTCTCCTGGAAGTGATGTGGTGGCTTGGGCGCCCGCAGGTTCTGCGCTGCCTGAAATGGCAGCGTGGGATTTGCGCCTGCCCTCCGCCTCTCGCTCGGCCACCCTACAGCTGAGGGGGAGGCAGCAGAGAAGCTGCATGCAGCTTGCCCCACCCCCATGGGCGGCTCGCCCCGTCCCTGGCTGCAGGATACGCGGGCAGCACCCGGCACCCAAGCGGCTAGCTACGCAGCTGGACATAGTGTCCCTCTAGACAGGCTTTCTGTTGTGCATCCCTGGTGATCTGTACTCATAATGCCATTGGGACAGTTATACATGATCCTGTTTCAAATACCGTTTCATAGACTGGAATAGAACAGAATCATAGAGCTGGAAGGAAATCCCAAGCGTCATTTAATCCAAACCCTTGCAATCTCAGCTGAAGCATCCATGACAAATGGCCATCTTTTGTGCCTGCAAATATTTTGGGGCAGCCACACTGCTTCAGTGTGGTGTAGTGGTTAAGAGCGATAGACTCATAATCTGGTGAACCAGGTTTGCTTCCCCGCTCCTCCACATGCAGCTGCTGGGTGACCTTGGGCTAGTCACACTTCTTTGAAGTCTCTCAGCCTCATTCACCTTACAGAGTGTTTGTTGTGGGGAAGGAAGGGAAAGGAGATTGTTAGCCACTTTGAGACTCCGTAGGGTAGTGATAAAGCGGGATATCAAATCCAAACTCTTCTTCTTCTTCCAATTGGTGCGTATCCCTGCATAATTTCTTGCTGACATCCCCATAACTTTAAAGCCCTTTGTGGCTTAGGGCCCTCGTATTTAAGGGACCGCCTCTCCTAGTATCCCCGCAGAGGACCTTAAGGTCCATGAATAACCATAGTTTAGAGGGCCCTAAGGAAGTCAGACTATCCTCCACCAGGGCCAGGGCCTTTTCATTGATGGCTCCGACCTGGTGTAATGCTCTGTCCCATGAGACTAGGGCCCTTCAGGATTTAACCTCCTTCTGTCAGGCCTGTAAGACAGAGCTATTCCGCCTGGCCTTTAATTTGAATTCAGCCTGATCTTTTATTTCCCTTCTCTTCCCTCCCCCTCCCCTTTTATGAAGATTACCCGCTCTGAGACCCCACAGCTAATTCTCCCCTGGCCTCCTCCCTGGCCCAAGTAGGACTAATTCAGCCAGCTAGCCCTGGTGACTATCTAATGCTTATTAGATGGATTTTCCCCAAACTGATTTCTGAACTTTGAATTTTATTGTTGTTCACGTTTTTATACTGTATTTTATGCTGCTTCTACAATTAAGTGTTTTAAATTTGTTGTTAGCTGCCCTGAGCCCGGTTTTGTGAACCGGGAATGGCGGGGTAGAAATAAAAAAATATTATTTATTATTATATCACAAACCTTCCGGTTTATTTTTGTCCCACTTCTGCTGCACTATAGACCCTCCAGACAAAGGCCTGGAAACGATGCCTTATGAGGAACGGCTAAGGGAGCTGGGCATGTTTAGCCTGGAGAAGAGGAGGTTAAGGGGTGATATGATAGCCATGTTCAAATATATAAAAGGATGTCACATAGAGGAGGGAGAAAGGTTGTTTTCTGCTGCTCCAGAGAAGCGGACACGGAGCAATGGATCCAAACTACAAGAAAGAAGATTCCACCTAAACATTAGGAAGAACTTCCTGACAGTAAGAGCTGTTCGACAGTGGAATTTGCTGCCAAGGAGTGTGGTGGAGTCTCCTTCTTTGGAGGTCTTTAAGCAGAGGCTTGACAACCATATGTCAGGAGTGCTCTGATGGTGTTTCCTGCTTGGCAGGGGGTTGGACTCGATGGCCCTTGTGGTCTCTTCCAACTTTATGATTCTATGACAGCAATCATGTGGTAGCACTGGGGGGAAGCGTTGCAGAACAAACTAAACCAGAAAACAACCCAGCAGTAACATGCCAGTGCCATGTCAAGAACATGTTGCCAGAGAAACATAGCATGGATAACTCGGTTAGTTAGAACATGATGCTGATACAGTGGTACCTCGGGTTAAGAACTTAATTTGTTCTGGAGGTCTGTTCTTAACCTGAAACTGTTCTTAACCCGAGGTACCACTTTAGCTAATGGGGCCTCCCGCTGCCGCCGCGCGATTTCTGTTCTCATCCTGAGGTAAAGTTCTTAACCCGAGGTAATATTTCTGGGTTAGCGGAGTCTGTAACCTGAAGTGTCTGTAACCCGAGGTACCACTGTAATGCCAAGGTTGCAGGTTTAATGTCCATATGGGATTGCTGCTTATTCCTGCATTGCAGGAAGCTGCATAATGTGATCCTCATATTCCCTTCCAACTCTACAATTCTATAATTCTATGGCACCCTAAATAAAGCAACAGCCTGGCTCTGGTTTAGGATTACTGTGGAAAGAAAGCCCGACACCTTCTTTGAGGCCGATGCGATAACTGCTTTTGTAAGAGAACGAAGCTTCTTTAAATTACTTTCTCCTTCCTCCCCTAAAAAGATCCCCCTTAAAGCCGACTCTCCCTAGGAACTCTGGCCTCCTTCTCTCTACATATCTGATAAAATGTTTAACTTGCTCTTCTGTATAGCTTGCTCCTTTTAATTCAACACCCGAGTTTTATATTGATATAAATCCCTGTCATAAACTATTCGTGTGGCTTCCTGGCAAGAGTCCAGGCTCCGTTATGAATGAGTTTGGAGGAGAGTCAGTGGCAGAAATGGCAATAATTGTAATTGCTTTGGGTGGCGGGCATCGTGGTGCTGTATGTACCAAGACATGGGACTAAATCAAGTCCATGTCAATGTCATGCCACCTACTGACCCCCTTGCTGGTTCTCCTAATAAAAGCATAGGAAGTGAAGGGATTTGACCTCTCCTGATCTAATGCAGATAAACTAGCTGATTAAACATATAGCTCCAACTTTCTCCCCGCACCCCAATCCATGATATGGATGAACTATCTATTCTTTTTTTTTTTTAATCGACTTAGTTTTAGCTAACTTTGGCATGAATGGTCTGGGAGCCAATGGGTGAGGATCTCTTGAGCACACAGTGGCTACAGATGTTTGTTTATTGAATTTATATCTTGCCTTTCCTCTCAAAGTAATGCAAGGTGCCAAACACATCCACAACTCCCCCCCCATAAAAAGTTGCCTTTGTAATGTTGTTGTCAATCAATTTAATTTGTTTTGTTTTTCCTTGCATTGTACAGATTTCTTTTTGTTCTAATTTTAGCTGAATTTTCATAAAATACCTCCCGGTTCTTTAAAAAAAAAAAGTATTCTAAAGCAGTTAAAGCAATCTGAAAACATTCACATGTGTTTTAGATGTGTTGAAATTTGATGTGTTGAAGGAACATATAAAGCAGGCTTCCTCCACCTCAGTCCTTCAGATGTTTTTGGCCTACAACTCCCATGATCCTTAGCTAGCAGGACCCAGCGGTCAGGGATGATGGCAATTGTAGTCTCAAAACATCTGGAGGGCTGAGGTTGAGGAAGCCTGATATAAAATGTGCACCTGGTTTCTGATATCTGTAGCACAGCAAGTTGGACAGAAAGGAACGGGAAGTTCTGGAACCCAAACAACTCATTTCATGTGGCATTTTGTTCAGCGCACTCAGGAACAGCCACTGCAAGTGAATTTTACCTGGAGGCACCTGGCAGAATCCGTTCGCTTCTCTTCACAATCTCGCTGACAAAGTGGCTGTTCCCATGAAACTCTGTTCACATGCTCTCTGGTGCCAAATTGGCAAACGCAGGAAGGTGTTCAACAGGTTGACTTGGAAGGCATATGGAATGAAAACTTGACTGGGATAAACGTGAGGCCTGAGACACAAAGCTCCTTCCAATATTTGGCAATCAGTTGGTTTCCCAAGAACCGGATGAGCAACAATTGGACTTGGCTGTGTCTGCTTCAGAATACATCTCTCTAGCAAAGCTTACCGTATTTTTCGCTCCATAAGGCACACCGGACCATAAGGCACACCAAGTTTTTAGAGGGGGAAATCAAGAAAAAAAATCCTGCTGTCCGCTTCTCCCAGAGCTTCTTGGTGCTGCTGGGGGAAGCCCGGGTCCCCCCCCCCCAGCCCCAAAGAGCAAACAAGCCAAGACAGAGAGCGGGATGGATCCCACTTGCTGTCTTGGCTTCCTCTTTAGCTGCGCACAACCTCTCGGGCCGGGAGAGGCTGCGTGGGGCTAAAGGAGCCATAGCCGTGTGCAGCCTCTCCCTGCCAGAGGGGCTGCGCAGTGGCTAAAGAAGCCCTTCTCCCTCCTGGGGAAAAGCCCGCAAGAGCCGCGCGGAGCTCTTGTGTGGGTCTTGGGGGATTTTCCTGCCTGTCTCCCCCCTGCATTCGCTCCATAAGACGCACACACATTTCCTCTTACTTTCTAGGAGGGGAAAAGTGCGTCTTATGGAGCGAAAAATACGGTAACATGTTCTTCTGGCATTGTTTTTCAGGATGACAGGGGTGGCTCTCAAGATGTTGGACTACATCCCCCATCATCCTTGACCATTGGCCATGCTGGTTGGGGCTGATAGGAGTTGTGGTGCAGCAACGTTTGAAAGGCCAACTGTTCCCACCCCTAGTTCACGGGTTATTGTGCAGTGTACCTCATTTACAGTACATAGGCATTTGACTTGCAGTTACTAAACACTTATCTGCATGTTGGGGCACATGCCATGCTGCCTATCATAACAAATGTGTACCTCACGTTCCTCCTATTCTTTATGAAAATTTAGCAAGGGGCCAGATAGATGTGAGGAATTGCAAAACAGGGGAGTGTAAAACACGGTGAGAAAAAGTTAACTGAACTTTGTCTGCTAGCAGCATATTTCTGCAGTGACCAACATAACATTCATAAGCTTCTTCATATCATATTTTGTGCGTTGGCTAATATTATTTGAACTCCAGTTAAGATTAAACTATATGTTAGCTGGGTTGATCTTCCCCACAAAAATAAGCAAGACATACGCCACAGAAAGTTTGAATGCTTTCCTTTTGTTCTGTTTTAAATGTGACCAACAATTGTTGTATGTGAAAAACTTTTCAGGTAACATCTCATCACATTTTCTTAAAGTTAACATATTTAAATAAGAGGAGACAGCTTAAAAATGCAGATTTTCATTTGTTAAGGTGAAAGAATGTATGTGTTTTTGTGACCAATATAACACACTTAGCCAACATTAAGTCTTATTGTTCTAGGCTCATTTGATTTTATTCCTAACACAAAATGTCTTCTCAGTTTATCAGACGAGAAAGCAAAGCTATCAATATGATAAAGTGCCATTAACCTATTGTGTATTATCTTGGAGAGAGATTTAACTGAAGATTAGGAAAATTAGAGAAATTTGGAGTCATCTTGCATGTCACACTTCTGCGTAAAATACCATTTTGAAAAACTCTTGCCAGATAATGAAACTTTCAGGAATTATCTTTAAAATGATGTGGAACATGTTAATTATATATGAAAATGAAAAATGGGCTAGCAGCTTGACATTTTCATGGAGTTGCCCAGCACTAGACTAAATTGTGATTATTAGATATTGGTTTTCAGTTACACAAATGGCGTTCAAATATTTATTAAAAAAAAACAGCTGCCAGCATCTTTCTTTAACAAAAGTGCAATTTTGAATGACCTTCCTTTTGCCTTAGAAGGATACGTAATATTAAATTTTAATATTACTAGCAAGCAGCTCCAGACTTCTCTGTTGAAGGGTAAATATGTTACATATTTTTAAGTTTTCATTCTGTTTCCTTTTTATAACTTATAACAGAGGCAGCCACCAGCAAAATCATTTAAATCACCGACTAAATTAAGCTAATGCCACCAAACCATAATACTTTGAGGCCTCTTGCAATGCTCACTTGCTCCTTCAATACCATGGACATTAATAATCAGCACCGCTGTTAAAATGGGTCCCTGGGCACATTTCCTTTTGTAAATAGCCCCGGTCTCTTAGCTTGTTCCTTTCTCTCAGTGCTTCTAAATATAAAACCCACAAACCAAATTGTCACACAATTTAAGATTAAATGAGCATGCAAAACTGAATTAAAACTCCCCCTTGCTCACATGTGAGATGAATCTGAAGGGCTTGTTTACCGATCAGTCGTGAGGAGTCAGAGGCTGTCATATTATAGAGCTTTTACCCTGAAACGAAAGTTAACTACACAAGGATTGTGAGGGTGTTTCATCCACAGCCTGGGATATTCACAGGCCACTGTGAGAAGATGTGAACATTAATGGTGTGCACTGGGATAATAATGGGGGGGGGGGCAGATTTGATTTGGTTCACAGCTAAAGCAGAATATATCAAATTCATCCTTTCTAAAACAGTGAGAACAACAACAATCTATTCTTCAGAATTTGCCCTTATCTGAATTTTGTGATGAAGTTCTCCAACCAAGCAGTATTTACAAAAAATGCATATATTGGAGAAATTGTTGTGTATAAAAATAACTCTGTGGAAATAACATACAGAAATGCATTATCTTTTGGGGGGCTGGATTGCTTGCAAATTCTTCTTCTTCTTTGGCGATCACTCATAGCTGAGTAAGATTGTCTTCCATAAACACGGTTTTAACAATGAGTCCGTAAGTGACTGTGGAGGCCAATTCTGGATCCACACGTCCTTCCACAGTGGGGACATTGGTTTCTGGGTGGGAGTTGATCACAGTGTGGATTTGCCAAGCGTGCCTTCCTCTTAGCACATTTCTCCCTTGCGTCCTGCGTTTGAGTGTCTTCAAAGCCCACGACACCTTTGGTAAAGGCTGTTCTCCAATTGGAGCGCTTGCAGGCCAGTGTTTCCCAGTTGTTGGTGTTTATATTACATTTTAAAAAATTTGCCTTGAGACAGTCTTTAAACCAATATACGTGTTAGCGTTTCACTCCTCCGTTGCTGGATGTGTGATTGTTACATCACATGTCAGTGTTTACTTTCTAGGTTTGGAAAGTGTGAGACTGGAAGTCAGTCTGATCTCTTTTGTACTTTTCTTTCTCTCTCTCTCTCTCTCTCGGAGAAGTAAGAGGATGCCATGATTGATTTGTCCTGTATATATTACTTTATAAATACTTAGAATGCATACACCTATGCTCCACAGTCGTTTGTGCTATACTCTGCTGATAGAGCGTGCACATGTCTTTTGATATGTGTCGCTGGTGCACACTGGGACTGAAGATTTGTGAATGTCCCGGGTTGCGCTTCATCAGGAAGACACCTGGAGAGGTCTGTCTCATTCCGGGGGCTGCATGTGCCCCCAGGTGTGTTCCGACAATATGTGCATCATCACACAAAATGCATACAAAAATGGGTTTGTTAGGATAAATTTGCAGTAAAATGCTGACAGATTTTTCATGGGGATTAAAAACTATAAAAAGCTGCAGAAATGTGGAGAGCTAAAGTGAAGAATGGGAAAATGAGAAATGGAGAAACCAAAACTGAAAGATCATTCCACCCCTCTGCTGGCATCACTTGAATTCTACCATATGCATAAAGTCTCCCCTGCCCCAGAAAAAAAAGTGCTCCCAGTATTTCCTTCTTGGAAGCTGTTGATATGCAAAAATAATGGAAGTGTGACTCACATCTGTTCCCTTAAAAATATACAGTGGTACCTCCGGTTACGGATGGGATCCGTTCTGGAGGCCCAGCCATATCCCGAAAAGTCCGTAATTGGAGGCGCCTTCCTGCACACGTGCGCAGCGCAATTGAGCACTTCTGCACATGAGTGGGGCACATAATAATAACAGCAATAATAATAATAAATTTTATTTATACCTGGCCAGAGCCGGGCTCCGGGCGGCTAACACCAATAAAATTTCAGTAAAAACATAAGAAGGGGAAAAAACAATTTAAAATACAGGTTAAAATGCAATTTAAAATGCAGCCTCATTTTAAAAGTCAAAACCATAAGGGGAGGGAAACATAAAGGTCAAACTGAGTCCAAACCAAAGGCCAGGCAGAACAGCTCTGTCTTGCACGCCCTGCGGAAAGATGTCAAATCCTGCAGGGCCCTAGTCTCTTATGACAGAGCGTTCCACCAAGTTGGGGCCAGTACTGAAAAGGCCCTGGCCCTAGTTGAGACCAACCTAATCACTTCTGCGCATGCGCGCACGAGGCTGCGTTTGCAACCCAAAGATTACGTATGCAGAGGATATGTAATTTGAGGTACCACTGTATATATATTACACTGGCATTCAAGGCCGTTTTCTCTGCTCATCCCTATACATTTGTCCCTATGTTTGGTGGAACTTTCTTCCAAGGAAAAATGCTATTGTTTGCAGCTTCACATATAACAGAATTATTAAAGTTTTTACATTTCACCATTTGCCATAAAAGCTTCCAAGGTGGTTTAATCAGAAATCAATAGCTGGGATTTTTTATTTTTAAGTACAAATAATAGAAGGACATAATACATTTGGAGGAAACATGCATAAAAGGACCCTAACAAAATGCTATGTACAAACTTGAAATCAATAATACTTGACATAATTCTAATACAGAAGAAATGATTGCTAATGTTCTAGTACTTGGGAGATTATATTGTTTCTTCACATTTATTCAGATGGTGTTATTTTATTCACCAACATTTCATGCCAAACCTTGACCCACTTTTCCTTTGAAAGTTTCTCTTTATTTTTCTAGGTTTCTGCAGCAATAATTCTAGGAACTGTCAACAACCTGCCCACTAAATGTCTGTGTTTATTTCCTTTAAAAGCACCACGTTATGCATGTTTATTTGGAAATACGTCCCACTGTGTATTCGATGGGACTTACACCCCAGTATATGTGTTTTAAAATTGGAGCCTAAATTATTCAGCAAACAAACTTCTGGATTTAATGAGAATGCTGTTCTCATTATCTTTTTGATGACGAGGAAAATCGCTTCCCAAAATCTGCCTGAGTACGTTTCACCTCCACAATATATGCATAAAATTTGCATTCAGTGTGTTACATGGGCAAATATTTCATTAACCTTGTTGGAGTGAAGTACTATGGAGCAAGAAAAAAAAAATCTTATAAAAAGTCTCGATACTTTTGTTTAGATGAACAGGTAGGCCGTGTTCTACAAATACAATTCCACCCATCTCCTGAAACACAAATTTGCAAGTCTTCCCGTACCCTCTTAAATTTAAACATTTCCATTAAAGACATTGTAAAAAAAAGAGAGAGAGTGTGGTATGGCCTCTTCTGAAGAGATGTTGATTTGGTTCATCTGATCTGAGCAATTATTGCTCAGTATCTGGCCTGCTTCCCCCCCCCCCTCAAGTGGGTGCTAGCTGTTGGAGTGGCCAGTGGTGAAATTCATATGGAAGCAGGTGTAGTGCAGCTATGAGGGTCCTGAGAGTTTGCTAAGGGCGCTGAGATTTCTTAGAAGACGCCATATTCCCCTTACAGTGCTACAGTCCCTAAGTTCCCTGGGAAGAAGCATTCAACATTCAGGCACACTGGTAATTGTAGCTCTGTGTGGGGAATTGGGGTCTCCTAATGACTCTCAGTACCCTTAACAAATGGGACGCGGGTGGCGCTGTGGGTTAAACCACAGAGCCTAGGACTTGCCGATCAGAAGGTCGGCGGTTCGAACCCCCGTGACGGGGTGAGCTCCCATTGTTCAGTCCCTGCTCCTGCCAACCTAGCAGTTCAAAAGCACGTCAAAGTGCAAGTAGATAAATAGGTACCGCTCTGGCGGGAAGGTAAAGGGCGTTTCCGTGCGCTGCTCTGGTTCGCCAGAAGTGGCTTAGTCGTGCTGGCCCCATGACCCGGAAGCTGTACGCTGGCGCCCTCGGCCAATAAAGCGAGATGAGCGCCGCAACCCCAGAGCTGGTCACGACTGGACCTTTACCTTTACCCTTAACAAACTACATTTCCCAGGAGTCTTTGGGGGAAGCCATGGCTGTTTTGAAGTGGAATAATACTGTTTTAAATGTGTAGTGCGGATGGGGACTTATGTTCAAGAACCAGTTTGGTCAGCTTCTACGCGTGGATTTTTAAAATGGGGAGTAATCTTGATATTGCCTCAGGCAACAAAGCATCTTGGGTCCGAGCTATTTTGCTACCTAAAAAATTAACAGCATGGAAAGCTTCTGTCCCAGAGTGAGCCTGATACATTTTGTCGCAGGAGACAAAACTGCAAACGGCACACATTCAGTCATAATGCATATAGTCCCTCAGTTTGGTTATTATTGTTGTTATTTAATTAAATTTGCATACTGCCCTTCGTCTGAAGATCATGGGGGGCTCACAACATAACACTGCAAAATGATTACTAAAAATACATAATAAAACATAGATTGTTTAATCAATCGGGAACTGGGCTATAGTAAAACATTTTTGCTTGGCAGCTGACTATATATAATGAAGGCGCCAGGTGGGCCTCTCTGGGAAGAGCATTTCATAGGTGGGGAGCCACCACAGAAAAGGCCCGTTCTTGTGTTGCCACCCTCTGGACCTCTCATGGAAGTGGCACACGATGAAAGTCTTCAGATGATGGTTGCAGGGTCCAGATCAGTACATCTGGGGAGGGGCAGCCCTTGAGGTATTGAGGTCCTGAGCCATTTAAGGCTTTATAGTAAGGTTACCAGATTTTTTTCAAAGAATCCGAGGACACTTTTTTTAAATAAAGAAAAAAAATGTTATTACTTCTTACTTTTTAAAAAATATGTTTTAATATCTTCTGTGGTCTCCTCTGGTGAGGGGAGAGACTCCTTCCACCTGCCTTCCCTCTGCTTCTCAATGTATATTGTATTGTTTTATGTACTGTGGCTTGCTGTTGTTTTATTGATTACAGTTTAGATATTATTGTAACTGTTGAGTAGATTTCTGTTTAACTTTTATATGTTGATATTATTATTTTATACTATTCTAATGATTGCTGAACGTTACTTTTTTGATGGAGGTTGCCTATTTTAAAGTTATGTTTTATTATTACATTTTTGTATTGCGTTAGATTGTTATAAGATGTACATTTTTTGTTTCTTCAGCTTGTAAACCGCCTTGAGTATTGTAAGATAGAAAGGCGGTATACAAATTAAAAATGATGATGATCATATTGCATGGCCTTCCTCTGGGCCCCGGCCTGCTCTCTTGGAGCGCTAGCTGCCGTGGAGTAGGCTCGGGTCGGGCCTCGCTCGGCCACTTGTCCTTGGCTCCCAGTACGTTTCCGAGCAGAATTCAAAGTGTTGGTGCTGACCTTTAAAGCCCTAAACGGCCTCGGTCCAGTATACCTGAAGGAGCGTCTCCACGCCCATCATTCAGACCAGACACTGAGGTCCAGCTTTGAGGGCCTTCTGGCGGTTCCCTCATTGTGAGAAGTGAGGTTACAGGGAACCAGACAGAGGGCCTTCTCGGTAGTAGCACCTGCCCTGTGGAACACCCTCCCTTCAGATGTGAAGAAAATAAGCAGCTATCATCTCTTTAAAAGACATCTGAAGGCAGCCCTGTTTAGGGAATTTTTAAATATTTAATGCTGTACTGTTTTTAACATTTGATTGGGAGCCGCCCAGAGTGGCTGGGGAAACTCAGCCAGATGGGCGGGGTATAAATAATAAATTATTATTATTATTATTGTCCTCCCGGTGTTCTCCTATCTGTCCTCCTCACTGGCGGCAACAGTGACGCGGCAAGGTCGGGGCTTCTCTATTTTTCTCCTCTCTCTTCCTTCTCCTTCTCCTCTGCTCCTTCTCCCTGTATTGGCTCCGGGGTTTTTACTGGCCCCGGAGTGCCACTGGGCAGTCGGCTGGGTGGCCTGGCGCTCTCGCTTCCAGCTCGATTTGGGTCATGGAAGGGGGTCAGCGGTTCCCCCAGTTGACGCACCGGGCCCCCTGGTTCCCCCTTGGCAGTGGCAGTGGCAGCCTCAGCAGCCCGGAGCCAGCCTGGTAGCGCAGTTGGCTCTGGCTGGCTTCAGGAGCTGCTCGCTGCCGTGGCGCCCGCCATTTTGCCTCACCGGAAGTCCCCATATGATGTTTCTTGTGCCATTGAACCAATCACACAACATTCATTCCCTACTAATAAATCTACAACACTTAAAATATGAAGCCGGGGACATTAAATGACATTAAATGAAATCTTGGGACAGATTTTGTGTGGGGACAGATTTGTAAATCCAGGGACTGTCCCTGGGAAACGGGGACGTCTGGTAACCATTCTTTATAGGTCAAAACCAGCACTTTGAATTGGACCCGGAAACTAATTGGCAGCCATTGCAGCCATGAGGCAGAAAGTCTCACGAGTGCCTTGCACTGAAAGGAGCAACAGCAAAAATAATAAAATAACATAAAATAAATAGTGTAACAATTCACTGCCCTTTCATGACACCCAAAACCAGGTGTCTGAAGCGGCTGCCTTATTGCCTATTGACAGGGCCGGCCTTATTGCAGACCTCCCTTTGAAGAATTGGGTCTGGACCTTTTCCCCCTCTACATGTATTGAGAGGGCATTGCAATAATACAGAGACATGGATGTAAAGAAAAAGGAAACATTACCGTTACCAAGTAACTCAATATCAATATAGCCTTGGAATTTACTCTGAAAACTTTTTTTTTCTTCCTCCCTTCAGTTTCAGCGTGTAGCTTATGCACCAAGCTGGAAGGTATCTATTGTTTTTCATTTGAAAGTTAAAATATTCTTTTGGCTTTCTTTTCTTTTCTTTTAATACTGCACATAATGGTCTCGGGGAAATGATATAATTTTGCAAGGAAAAATCAATGAGGAGTCTGCAGGCTGTCTTCTACCTACAGAAAGGCCAATTATACTGTTAACTACTGAAATATATCAAGAAGCTACACTCTGTAGCGTTGGGGAAACCAGTATAAAATTACTGTATGTTGGAGACATATGTTGCAATGCTTGAAAGTGGCTCTAAAAATAAATGCTGTGGGTGGGTGTGGGCAGATAGTACTTTGTTGTAAAACAGTCTTCAGCTTGTTTAGAAACACCCCAAAGCCTATTAATTCTTTATGAAAAGATGGAATAGAGAAGTATAAAGAGTTTCAAGAAACTGTTTCCAAAAGGGCCATTAACGCACAGAGACGGGGCCTAGTTTGTCAGTGAGTTAGTTAAATGACTGCAGACTGTAGCTTGAATATCATGTGACTCAGCAGCCTCCATCCCACAAAACAAAACTCTCCACACACAAAAACTCGATGTCTGGTGGTCGGAGATTCTAGCTGGGACGGCCAGATTGCCTGAAAGGCCATGCAGTATAAGTCCAGTGTAAAAATAGGGAGAGCAGGAAGGGCCTCAAAGTTAGGGCTGACATATTTCAAACCAGAATTAAGATTGCCAGAAGAAATATCAACAACCTCAGATATGCAGATGACACAACCTAGATGGCAGAAAGTGAGGAGGAATTAAAGAACCTTTTAATGAGGGTGAAAGAGGAGAGCGCAAAATATGGTCTGAAGCTCAACAAAAAAACGAAGATGATGGCCACTGGGCCCATCACCTCCTGGCAAATAGAAGGGGAAGAAATGGAGGCAGTGAGAGATTTTACTTTCTTGGGCTCCATGATCACTGCAGATGGTGACAGCAGCCACGAAATTAAAAGATGCCTGCTTCTTGGGAGAAAAGCAATGACAAACCTAGACAGCATCTTAAAAGGCAGAGATCACCTTGCCGACAAAGGTCCCTATAGTTAAAGCTATGGTTTTCCCAGTAGTGGAGTATGGAAGTGAGAGCTGGACCATAAAGAAGGCTGATCGCTGAAGAATTGATGCTTTTGAATTATGGTGCTGGAGGAGACTCTTCAAACCTCTCCATTCTGAAGGAAATCAGCCCTGAGTGCTCACTGGAAGGACAGATCCTGAAGCTGAGGCTCCAATACTCTGGCCACCTCATGAGAAGAGAAGACTCCCTGGAAAAGACCCTGATGTTGGGAAAGATTGAGGGCACAAGGAGAAAGGGACGACAGAGGACGAGATGGTTGGACAATGTTCTTGAAGCTACCAACATGAGTTTGACCAAACTGCGGGAGGCAGTGGAAGACAGGAGTGCCTGGCGTGCTCTGGTCCATGGGATCACAAAGAGTCGGACAAGACTAAACGACTAAGCAGCAACATTTTCAAAGAGTAAGAACCAGGGTACCCCGAAAGTTGTGGAGATTATTTTTTTTTAGGAAGACCCCAACATTGCGGAGCTTTCTTTAAGTAAACCGCCGAAAATCATTGATCCCAAAAAAGAGGCAACCCCCCCCATTTTTCTGAATTTTATTTATACTTTTCACTTTTATACATTTCATTCATTTTTACAATCCCTTTAACATTTCAAAACTTGACTTCCTTCCCCCTCTTTCTGCGGTTCCTTAAATTTATTTTTTTAATATCTTCTGCATATCCAAATTCATTTAATTTGCTAATTTATTTTTCTCCTTTAAATATATACTCTTATAAAACTGCAAGTTATTACAATAATCCTGCCAATGTTTTTATCTGTTTTCAATTTATCTGTAAATATTCAATAAACCATTAGGCATTTTTTTTATTCTACCCCGAAATTTATGGGGCCCCGGCCGCTTCATAGGGCCCCCCTCTCCACTTTGGTAATGAATTTCCTAGGTTTTTTTGGGGGGGGGGTTGAAATGTAAGTGCCCCTCTAGCTCTAGGTTTCTCTCTGACAAAGGGAATGATTTGGCAAGCTTCCTCTTATATGTTCTTCCCCCACAGATACAGGGTGGCAAGTTTGGAAGGAACCCAGAGTATCATCCAAACTGACCCCAAACTCTTTGAAGTAAGTACTATGTTTCCTCTGAAGTTAGTAATATGGCTTTAGGTGTAGTAAACTTCTAAGCATCCTGAGAATTGTCTTTCCTTCAAGTAACTATAGGGATCCAGCAGTGCTGTTCTAATAATAATAATAATAATAAATAAATAATTATACCCCGCCCACCTGGCTGGGTTTCCCCAGCCACTCTGGGCGGCTTCCAACAAAAACACTAAAATGCAATAACCTATTAAACATTAAAAGCTTCCCTAAACAGGGCTGCCTTCAGATGTCTTCTAAAAGTTTGGTAGTTATTTTTCTCTTTGACATCTGGTGGGAGGTTCTTGTTTTTTGGTGTGTGTGTGTGTATGTGTGTTTGTGGGGTGGTTACTGTTCTTGAGACACTTGTCTCTCCTAGTTCCTCTCTGGTGCATAGCTGTCAACTTTTCCCTTTTCTTGCGAGGAACCCTATTGGGAATAAGGGAATTTCCCTTTAAAAAAGGAAAACATTGACAGCTATGCTCTGGTGCTGCCTGTGCGTAAATGCAGGAAATTGAAGATCATTGTTTAATTCTCTCTTTCTCTCTCTGGATATGTTTGTGTGTGTAGGGAGCCTGTTTGCTGTTTGCATGAGCACACGTATACATGCAAGTTATTCTTTACAAGAATGGCGTCCCAATATCGTCTCCTTATTTTTATCTGCTGCATATTAGAATTTCACCATAAGGGCAGATATTCTCGTTCCCTTATTTAAACACTGGGGAATCTGTGCCCTTCCAGATGTTGGTAGACTACAACTCCCATCATCCCCGACCACTGACCATGCTGAAGTCCAACAACATCTAGAAGCCACACATTCCCTATTCCTGTTCTAAAGTAGAAATCAGAAAGGAGGATAAATAATTGTTGTATGAACAAATCAACACAGTAAGTAACAGAGGAAATTTGACATAAGCAAGTCAAGAGAACGTGTATATTCAGATGACTGGTTTCCATATTGCAACTTCCAAAACTGCAATACAAATTTGTACAGTGGTACCTCAGGTTAAGTACTTAGTTTGTTCCGGAGGTCCGTACTTAACCTGAAACTGTTCTTAACCTGAAGCACCACTTTAGCTCATGGGGCCTCCCGCTGCCGCCACGCCGCCAGAGCACGATTTCTGTTCTCATCCTGAAGCAAAGTTCTTAACCTGAAGCACTATTTCTGGGTTAGCGGAGTCTGTAACCTGAAGCGTATGTAACCTGAAGCGTATGTAACCCGAGGTACCACTGTATTTACTTTTTGCCTGCCTTTTGAAGCCCTGTGATGGTTACATCATCACTTATTTGTGGAGCATGGAATACTTCATAGGTACTAATAATTTTAGGGGTATTTAAAAAGCAGGGGTGGGCACCCTAGACATTGTTGGACTTCATCTCCCATCATTCCTAACCATTGGCCAAGCTAGTGAGAGCTGATGGGGGTGGGAGTCTGACAATATCTGGAAGGGCATTGTGGCGTTTGCCTCCTAGGTGGGTCATAAGGAAAGGGTTAAATGAGTGTGATGTGATTGGCCAGAGAGAAACTGATAGGAGAGTTAGAGTCGGAGCTGTGTGGAAGTCAGTTTAGAGTTTTTTTAAAAAAATATTTTATTAAGGATTTTCTTGTTTTACAGAAGTGTAGTGCCTCATATTTTTTCTTCTTCATGTAACATTTTTACAAATCCGTTTCATTTGTTGAGGCATTAGGGGGAGAAGAAAAAAGAAAGAAAAAAGAAAGGGGGGGAGGAGAGAGGGAAGATGGATAGGGGTGGGGTCGGGTGGCGGTGTTTCTATTATGTTTAATGTATGTAGAGTTTGGTGTCAGCGTTGCTTGTGTTGTTCACTTGTGTTCCTTTGGTGGTGAGAGAGGTTGGGGTTGGCCTAGGCCCAAAATCCAACTATTCTGGACAACAGCCATACAAGAAATAAGTAAAATAACTAAGCAAGTAATAGGCATCACCCCAGAATTGGCCCTACTAAACATCTTCCAAGACAACAATGCCCATTTACACCACAAAGAACTCATAACCCACCTGCTCTCAGCAGCCAGAAACACCATAACCAGACACTGGAGAGACCTGTCAGGAGTAAGCATGGACCAATGGTACCAAATAGTATGGGAAACAGCCCTACTAGAAAAATTAACTAATAAACTGAAACTGACACGGGGACAAACAGAAGAAGACGCCTTCACCCCGGTATGGCTCCCCTTTATCACATACACAGCCCAACAGGACAATGACAATAATCCACCAACAGCATACAAATCAATATGGCTAACCTGATCCAAAACACCCACCCACCTCACTCACACACGAAAACAAAGATCACCACAGCCAATCACAAGCAAACAATCACACCCTAAGTCAGTTTAGAGTTGAGAGTTGGAGAAGGAAGAGAGAGGATAAGTCTGTGGGTTGGTCGAGTTGTGTTGTGAGGGAGTGAGAGGAATTGTTAGGTGGAGTCAGATAGATCATAGAATCATAGAATCATAGAATCATAGAGTTGGAAGAGACCACAAGGGCCATCGAGTCCAACCCCCTGCCAAGCAGGAAACACCATCAGAGCACTCCTGACATATGGTTGTCAAGCCTCTGCTTGAAGACCTCCAAAGAAGGAGACTCCACCACACTCCTTGGCAGCAAATTCCACTGTCGAACAGCTCTTACTGTCAGGAAGTTCTTCCTAATGTTTAGGTGGAATCTTCTTTCTTGTAGTTTGGATCCATTGATAGTTGGGATAATCAGATTGAAGTTGTTAGGAACATATAAGACAGTAAAGGAACTAAGATTAAGAAACTGACAAGAAAAATTAACTGAAACCTTAAACTTGTTTATGCTTTTAAAAATAAACTTGATTATTTGTTAATGTTAACAACTGTCTGGACTCCGTGTGTACCCGAGGGAAATGGGTTGGTGGCAGCGAAGAGGCAATCACAGGGACCAATAGACCGTCAAAACCGTCCGGGGACCCTGTGTGATCGCCACAAAGGGCCAAATTCCCCACCCTTTCCTTATAGAAATGTTTAAATCCTCCACCCCACAATTATGTATGTCACTGAGTATTGCCTCTTAAGAGGCATCAGCGGAATAGCAATATGGCAGGGCATTAGAACATAGCTCAGCTGCCAGCACTTCTAATGTGAAACTGTATGCCATCCTCATTGTTTCAGGGTTAAATTATCCATGAGGCCTATTTTAATTCTGACTTCAATGCTGCTTGATAATACTAATGATTTGAGAGCTGATGCACAGTAGGGGTTCTTTGCTGCTAAACTGCCAACAAGACACTCATACCTCCAGCAGCTGCTGCGTTCTGCTGTTCTGGTCCAAGCAGGGACCTTATACACCAGCTTCCCTCCTCCCTCTTCCTCAAGAAAAACAACCTGATATTTACAATGGGGAGAGCTGGAAGATGAATATCCATTCTCAAAGCTAAATTGCTGACCCATCTGCAGGTGTTCGGAATCCTAGCAGAGCAATTAATCAGTGTGCTGAGATTATGGATATTAGCACTTGATTATTTCTGTTGTTTATGCAATCATTTATTTTGCAGCACGCCACACTACTCTGAGTGTGCAGACGAAGCAAATGCAAGTCAGCCAGCAGTGACCGCCATCTTCCTTTCCTGCATCAAACAGATTCTTTCACGTCATACATCCGCAGCACATGCCATCACACGAAGCTTCTGTTTTGCAAATATAAATAGCAACACATCAGCCAAAGGCAACAGCATAATCACTCCACCCAAGATACAGCTATTTGTAAACTACGCCAATAGTGGACACGTCCATATCCATATTGGATTTCCCTTAATAAAACCAGCAAACAGTCATGCTCTGGTTACAATGAAGGCAAATGAACTTCAGCTCAATCCGTGTTCTGGTTAACTTACTATATGAAATATCTCTGCAGCGTTGCTGTTCTCTTTTAAGCTGGATGTGGAATCTGGACTTCTAACACAGAAGCCAAGTGGGTGCTGGGGCGGACTTTGGTCTCTCAAATTTCAATAGCACCCTGCGCAAAGCCAAAACTCGACGTCCCTCCCATCTCTTGCCCTCCATTCTGGTTGTGCACTGTGTCCTAGCTGTGATGCCCTGTGGTGACCCCTGGCTTGGTGCCCAGTGCAGGGAAACTGGTCGTGCTGCCCTCAATCTGCCTCTGGTGGATAGCCCCCTTTTCCCACCCCATGAGATTTTCACTGGAGCCAATATGTGTGTGGAAAGCGTTTAATGCTCCCTTCCTATTACTGTGCTTTCAGCCACTCTGCCAGACGGAGTTCAGGTGAGTGAGGCAGTCCCAAGACATTGCCCATTGCAACTTCACTTGCAATTTTGCCTGGGTGGTGAAAAAGGCTATACAGTCAAACCTTGGTTGTTGAACGTAATCCATTCCAGAAGCCCATTTAGCTTCTGGAACGTTCAGCAACCGAGGTGTGGCTTCTGATTGGTTGCAGGAGCTTCTTGCACTCAAGCGGAAGACACGTCGGACGTTTGGCTTCCGAAAAATGTTCGAAAACCGGAACACTTACTTCCAGGTTTTTGGCGTCTGGTAGCCAAAACGTTCGTCAACAGAGCCATTCAAGAAGCGAGGTTGACTGTAAAGGCAACACTATTTGGAAAGGGAAGGGTTAAAGTGATAGTGCTGATTCCCTCCGCTTTCATCAACATTTTGGTTGTCTTTTTCCAATCTTATGACTGCAACATACTTTTTCAGATAGGCTAACCAGGACTGTGCATGATACAGTCATACCTCATGTTACGTTTGCTTCATGTTACGTTTTTTCAGGTTGCGTCCCACGGTGACCTGGAAGTACTGGAAAGGGTTACTTCCGGGTTTTGCTGCTCGCCATGCCAGTGTGGTGTAGTGGTTAAGTCTCATAATCTGGGGAACCGGGTTCGAGTCTCCGCTCCTCCACATGCAACTGCTGGGTGACCTTGGGCCAGTCACACTTCTTTGAAGTCTCTCAGCCCCACTCACCTCACAGAGTGTTTGTTGTGGGGGAGGAAGGGAAAGGAGATTGTGAGCCGCTTTCAGACTCCTTAAAGGGAGTGAAAGGCGGGATATCAAATCCAAACTCTTCTTCTTCTTCTTCTTCAAATTGCGCCGCGCACCTGCGCAGATACGGCGCTTCAGGTTGTGGGCTTTTCATGTTGCGAACGGGCCTCCAGAACAGATCCCGTTAGCTACCAGAGGTACCACTGTATTCCAAATATGGCTGTACAATACATTTGTATCTGTTGGACATATCTTTTTATTTACAGTTTTGTTGCATTGTTTTAGTTATCGCCATCCGCCTTGAACATACTTCGAAGCAGGTAAGGAATGAATTAAATGGTAAATTCGTTAAAGGTTTATGTCTATAACAGTACAGCATAGCTTTGAAGTGACATTCCCTGTGTGTTTTAATACTGCTCTTAAAGTAAAACTGCTGCTACGATAAACTTGCACTCCACTTGAGCAAATTACAAACACACCTTCACCACATGAAACACTTTAATGAGGAAAGCACCCAATTACTCAATGCCAACTCAGGTAGTTCACCAACAAAGCTTTCCAGGTAGGCAATTTAATAATTACAGTAAATGGAGCATTATTCCAGGCTCCTGGGGCCAAGGATGTATAAAGTACATTTACAGTAGCATTGTCTTTTATATTACATGGAGCTGTCTGTCTATGAAGGGATGGGTGACAAGCAGTATGAAATCAAAAGATACTCTCATACATATGTAAGTGGGAGAATGATATCTAAACTGAGTTAAACATCTGATGATCGGTACATCAGCCTGTGCTAAGTGCTGTTACGATGTGGTCAGTGATTAATCTACCACTTCCCTTTCCGTTCCAACAAGCATTGTTTGCAATGTTGCCCTTTATTATGCTATAAAAAGCTAGAGGTACCCTGACAGGGACGCCGGTGGCGCTGTGGGTAAAACCTCAGTGCCTAGGACTTGCCGATCGTATGGTCGGCGGTTCGAATCCCCGTGGCGGGGTGAGCTCCCGTCGTTCGGTCCCAGCTCCTGCCCACCTAGCAGTTCGAAAGCACCCCTAAGTGCAAGTAGATAAATAGGTACCGCTTTATAGCGGGAAGGTAAACGGCGTTTCCGTGTGCTGCGCTGGTGCCAGCTTGCCAGAGCAGCTTCGTCATGCTGGCCACGTGACCCGGAAGTGTCTCCGGACAGCGCTGGCCCCCGGTCTCTTAAGTGAGATGGGCGCACAACCCTAGAGTCAGACGCGACTGGCCCGTATGGGCAGGGGTACCTTTACCTTTACCCCTGACAGTTAAGTCCAGTCGTGAACGACTGTGGGGTTGTGGCGCTCATATCGCTTTACAGGCCGAGGGAGCCGGCGTTTGTCCGCAAACAGTTTTTCTGGGTCATGTGGCCAACATGACTAAACCGCATCTGGCGAAGCCAGAGCAGTGCGCGGAAACACTGTTTACCTTCCCGCTGGAACGGTACCTATTTATCTACTTGCACTGCGTGCTTTCAAACTGCTAGGTTGGCAGGAGCTGGAACCGAACAACGAGAGCTCACCCCGTCGCGGGGATTCGAACCGCCAACCTTCCAATCGGCAAGTCCAAGCGGTACAGTGGTTTAAACCACAGCGCTACCCGCATCCCCTTACTATTCTGTATGAATCATATATGATTCATATATAATCATATATGATTCATATGCTGTAGAATCATAGAAATGTAGAGCTGGAAGGGAATCTCAACCAAAGCATCCATGACAGATGGCCATCGATCTCTGCTTAATAACCTTCAAGGAAGGAGAGTCCACCACCTTCCGAGGGAGACTGTTCCACTGTCAAACAGCTCTTACCGTCAGAAAGTTCTTCCTGGTGTTTAGTTGGAATCTCCTTTATTGTAATTTGAATCCATTTGTTTGAGCCCTACCCTTCAGAGCTGGAGAAAACAAACTTCCTCTTTCTTCCATGTGACAGCCCTTGAGATATTTGAAGATGGCTATCATATCTCAGTCTCCTCTTTCCCAGGCTAAACCTACCCAACTCCCTCAACCTTTCCTCATAAGGCGTAGTTTCCAAACCCTTGATCAACCTGGTCATCCTCCTCTACACACTTTCCAGCTGGTCAACATCCTTCTTGAATTGTATTCCAGGTGTGGTCTAATGAAGGCAGAATAGAGCAGGACTATTACTTCCCTTGGTTGGGCCGCTATACATCTGTTGATGCAGATTTTTAAGAATTTAACATAAAGTACTGTATTGGCTGGAATATAAGCCACACTTTCCCCCTCCCCCCCAAATTCTGACCCTGAAAAGTTAAAGTGCAGCTTAAATTCGCGAGCTTACAAAAATTGGCTTTTACGATATCTCTGCTGAAACAAGCATACGGTAAAACGGAACAAAAAAATGTTTTATTGCCGATTTGCGAGCTTGCGACTGTTCATTTGCCATTTACGGGTGCAAGTGCCTGAGGAATTGCAGCAATTTAATAGCGATTTGCGATTTTAGCGATTGTACGGTAACTTTTGCGAGCTTGCAAGATCAAAGGCTTAAATTGGGTCGGAGATACAATTCTACCAACCACAGTGATTTTCAGCCTGTAACCCAATTTTAAGGGAGCGGCTTCTATTCGGGTATTGTCTTTCTCTCTCCCCCCCCCCCCGAATTTTAAAGGAGCAGCTTATTCGTGGGTGTGGCCTATATTCGGGCCAACACGGTACATATTCTATTTACATTGTGTAATGACTCCTTCACCTGAGAATTCAAATGCCTAAACCTACAGCAGGGATGGGGACCATATGCCAGTGGGGGCGGGGCATGAGAAAAGTGGGTGGGGCATCAAATGCAAGCATTACCTTTGTACAGTCAGTTACACACACACACACACACTGACATACCTCTCTGTGCTCCACCCGCACAAGCAAGAGGCATTATCGGAGATCAAGGACACAATCCAGCCAGACAAAAACATTCAGAACAAACACAAAACCCTGTGTAGCAAAATGTGACAATCTACAAAAACGCAAACGCAACACGCTGGCTAATAACTGTTAGTAAATATATAATTGGTATGATGTCATTCAAAATATACGAATAAGCCACTTCTAAATAATATCATCATCATCATCATCATCATCAACCTTTATTACGGTCCAGAGACCCAACAAATCGTTACAAAGCAATACACAATCTAAATAATATATATATCATACAACATATCTCACAAAATATACAAGTAACTGCAAGGTGTTATATGTATCAGAGTCAAACAAAGGTTCAAACAACCAATGAATAGCGAGGAACGCCAAACCGTCTCTCAAAGGAAGACGTCTCACAAAAGTCTCAGAGGAAGACGTCTTTCTGAAGTCTCAAAAGGACAGTGCATCCGGAATATTTCAACTGTTTCGGAATAAAGTCTTCATCAGAGAATAATTATCAATGAAATATACATACTAGTGAAGATCATACTAGTGGATCAGTGCTCAGCTGCTGACCTAAAGGAAGCAGTTTGAGGTTCATGACATGCAGTTGAAAACCTGCTGCCTCATGAACCTATTTCCTCTGGCGGCATCAATATTCTCTCTCCCTCCCCGCTTCTCTCGATTCAGTAAATGGTATTCAGAAGGGCTTATTCCTAAGTAACCAGGTGTACACTTGCAGATACACAGCCCAGTCCTACTTATGTTTTAAAAATAAGCCCCACAATGGGGCTTGGATGCTTTCATCGAGCGAGGGGGTTGATTGTTGAGGTTTGTGAGAAACTGCAGCTTTGAAGTGGACAATTAGTGAGTTGGCAAGAAGCCAAGTAAAGCAAGAAGTACAATGGTACCTCAGGTTACAGATGCTTCAGGTTACAGACTCCGCTAACCCAAAAATAGTACCTTAGGTTAAGAACTTTGCTTCAGGATGAGAACACAAATTGCGTGGTGGCAGCGGGAGGCCCCATTAGCTAAAGTGGTACCTCAGATTAAGAACAGTTTCAGGTTAAGAACAGACCTCCGG